GGACAAGGGGTAATGGTTTTACAGAAGAAGAGTTTAGAGTGGACATAAGGAAGAAAGTCTGCACTGTGAAGGTGGTGAGATAGTGGCACAGGCTGCCCAGAGAAGTTGTGGATGCCCTATCCCTGGAAACCTTCAAGGCCAGATTGGATGGGGCTTTGAGCAACTTGGTCTCACAGAAGGTCTCACTGCCCAGGGCAGGGGTGTTGGAACTACACGTGCTCTTTAAGGTTCCTTCTATGAATTCAGATGGGATTTACACCAAGCAGCAATTTTTTTGCACACCAAATTGCATTGCAGTTTTAACAGCAAGCCTACCAGAAAGGGTCATCTTAAAAATGCTCCAAGTAACTGGCCAAGCAAGAGGGCCTCCATCTCTTCACACCTTACAATACCTTTCTCCCTCCTGGAGATTCCTCCCAGCAGGATTTCCCTACCTGGGCTGCTCAAGGCCCAAAGCAGGGAGCAGCAGAGGGATGTCAGCTGCCATCACGGTCCCCTCTTCTCATTCTGAGCCCAGCTGTTCTGGAGGAAGCTTCACATGCCTGGAGGGTCACGGGCTGTCCACAGACACAGGGCACACAGGCACCAGGGGAGCCATGAACAAGGAGTCAGAGACCACCAAGCAGCTGGAGAAGCCACCACAATGGTCAGAGGTCAGGTGTGAGTATGACTTCCTCAAAGGTTGTAGCACTGCCATCCTCCAATGTTCAGCTTGCCAAAAGCTCCATCGCTGCCTCATCATGTGGTACTGGGGGAAAAATGTTCCCTTTTAGCACTAAACTTTGCTGCAGTCTTCAGCCTCTCACAGGATGGGGGCCAACACAGACCTGGGGCTTATCTCTTAGTTGCTGCCCTGCTTTGTGTCACACTGGAGGGCACAGGCACAGGACTGGGTTCTGGACTGCAGCAGGGCCATGCAGGGTTACTCTGGAAAATATGCACACTGATACTTTGTTCATCTAAAGCTGAAGTGGTCGGTATGAAAGAAAATAGCTTGTGGTCTTCATACCTCAAGTCAATGAATTCCTGGGCCTTTTATAGCTCAGGAATGCTGGGCACTCGTGTTTGGTTTTACGAGGCTGCGAGGCCGCGGCTTAAGGCCTGGATGAACATTAATCACAGCGGCACGACGGCAGCTGCTCGTGTGTTTACCCCTCCCTCAGGTGGACTGCACTGTGCACTGTGCCCTGCTTTCCCCACTTGTTTGGTTTGCTGAGAGGGGGTTACTGCCTTCAGGCTGACTTACCTGACCCACAGTGGTCCAGGAATGCAGTGGGGTGCTCAAGACCAGCCCGGTTTGTTGGATTGCATCCAGACCCCAGACTGGGGATCCTGATGACAAGCAGGATCCTGGCAGCATCCTTCCTGCCAGGGAGTGAGATCTGAACTTTTCATGTTTCACTGCAATGTACTTTAGGTCCAGACCCAGAAGGTATTTAAAGATGTGTGAAATCACAGCTTTTTCCCAAGAATGCACCTCGCTGCTGTTTGTACATTTGCCCCTCTCAAACTTTAGGAGGAGAAAAGCCCTGAAAATGGTAACAAACCAGCACAGAAGAGATGACACAGCTGCACAGTGCACGGAATCCAAGCAAATCCTGAAAAGGTCCTGTCATTTTGGATGGGACTAGATTTTTGAATGCTTCTAAATGGCAATCTTGCTAATATTTTTAGCTCTTCTGAGCTCTTTCTTTACACAATGCAGGTCTGTTACTTACTTTTGGAATAATGGACTTTAATGTTTAATCAAACTGACTCTGGAAGTTTGCTTCTTTGCATGTTTATTCCTGACATTAATATGCAAAATATTTAACCTGCAGGCAGTCTTACAGTGACATTCTGGTTTTTGGCAAGACCATCTCTAGTGAAGACACAACCCAAAAGTGAAATAAGCCCCCTCCTTGTTGTACCTGAACACAGCTGGCCAGGAGGCTTTTCCCATCCTTATAATGATTTGGCCTCTGTTAGTTTCCTTTTCTTCCATGTTTTTGGCATGTATCTTGAAAAACAAGATACATGCCAAATTTAACTCTCAAATCTTGACTTGAAGGAAGTCAAAAAGCCACAATCTCAGCAATCACCAAACTTTTGTTCTTGGCACAAAAAATACTGCCAGCTGCCATATCTTGAAGATGGAGCGATCAGATGGGTCAGGCTGACCTGTGCTTGCATGACGAACACAGGGTGCTGGGATCTGGGTCAAGCAAACTTCTCCTCATGCTTCTGCAACCCCCCTGGATCTTTGCTGACACACTCCTGCTCAGGACAGGTTGTTTCTTTTCAATGTGTGCAAGATCTGGGGAGAGAAGGTTGGGACAGGCAGAGAACTCATAGAAGAGAGAGGCCCCCAGTGGCATTCATGCCTTTCATGCCTGCAGCTCCCTGGGACCTGATTCAGGAATTTTTTAACAGACACTTTCAAGAGCATGTGAGAGCCTGCTGAGCAAACCTCCCTAACTCAGAGCCAGACACTTGGCTCACTTTTGCTCCCTTCCCCCCATTTATTTCAGTTACATAAACAAACATAGGAACAATATTTCCACCAGGCTGGAGCATTCCCCTTGCCAGCACTACAGCATGAAATGGGATCTGATCTTTATTCCTTACTGAGCACAGTATATAATTCAAGAACATCTATATATAAAAAATATTTAGGTACCTCACACACTGATCCAACATCTGTCAAATAAAGAAGCCTCAGACCCTCAAGAAAAAATAAAATTAAAAAAAAATCAGTGCGAGTTCTACGCTTAGCAGGAACATAGGCCTAAAAAATATTAGTATCTCATCAAAGTATCTCATTAAGTTTCCCCTCTCATTTCCTTCCAGTGAAGACAATTCACTAAAATCATCTCTCTTCTTGATCATCTCTAAAATCATGCTCTTCTTGCTTGGGTAAGCTCCCAGTTTGATCCTCTGCCTTGGAGACCCACAGATTTCATGCCCACATACACCTACTGGTGTCACCTGCTGTGGGGCCTTTCATTAACACCTGTGAAAAATGGAGAAGATGCAACCTTAAAAGTCCCTGAGGTATCCCCTCTTAGTCCTAACACATTGTTTGCAAAGACTCAAGAATTTTTTTTAAGTTCTTTCTTCTGGAGGACTGAATGTATTCACACTGGAAAAGTGAGAAAATAAACACGTTTATACATTTATTATCTACAATAGTAAGGCACAAATTTAAACAGCAAAGAATAAGAAATCTTTGGCTGACCGACAATATCAACATTTGCTGGGGGTGACACATAACATCCTTCATTTCCCCCCCTATGTACAAATCACCCTCCAGCTGTAAAACACTGTACACAAATTTCTCTATACAACCAACAGCAATAAAAAATGACAGTATTTTACAACTAGTTACCACTGACATCACCTGGAATGGCTACAGCACAGTTTCCCAAAAACACAAAACAGTTCAAAGAGCTGGGAAGGCCAGCACAAATGGAGCTGGGCCGCTCTGCTCAGCAGGGCTGACATATGGCAGTAGTACTCCATCCAAGTCCTGTGAGTGCTTGGGCTGGAGGGAGACACACCACTCCTCCAGACCTTCCCTCCAGGAAAACTAACATCTCTTGAGTTCAACAGAGTTGGTGAGAATTTGGTTTATCTGAGGTGTTGCACACACACTGTCTCTAAGAGTTTCCTATATCTGGGGCAGCATCAAGTGTAAAGGCAGCTTTGGATAGCAGCACCTGGAGAGACTGTGCTCTCCCCAAGGAGGAGTGCTGTACTCTAGCTGACTTGGACAACTCGAGCTGAACCACTACCAAACATAACTGAGAGCTGATCCATGCTGATCCAGCACTGTTTCTCCTGGATGCCTCACTGTCTGCCCGCACACACTTTACTGAAGAGTTTCAGCAAAATAAATATTACAGCTGGTAACAAAATGCTTAGGGACTTCCAAGCACCTGGGTATCCTTATTTCTTGGATAAAAAGTGATGCCATTAAAAATTCACCAACATTTTACTTGTATTCCCTTGATTTGTCTTCCTCTTGCTCCATTCCTACCCAGATGCTTGAGGAAGAGCCACGAAGTGGGTCAGTGGTGATGTCACACGCGGTCCCGGCTTTTATGCAAACAATTACAACATTTAAATTAACTTTAGAGGGGAAAAAATTATCTTACAAGGCATATGTTAAGCTGCATAACATCTTCCAAGGGTTTTACACCTTTGATTTCACAATGCAAAGCTGCTAATACTTGAAACACACAGTTTGCTTCCTGCACAACCTACCTACCACTACCTTGTTTAACAAGTGCGAAACTCAGAAAGAGGGTGACAACAACATACGTCTAATTCTAGGTACACGCAAAAATAAGTGCATAGCTTTAACATAGCAATTTTTTTCTTTTTAAAAACAAAACATATCAGCCAGGCAGTACAGAGCACAAGGCTCTGGCCTGTGAAGGCTTTGAGTTCACAAGGGCTTCAGTTTTTGGCAAAAGCAGAGTTTAAAATGCCTGGTGTTCTCAACAGTCAAGGGCTCTGATTTGTCGCCTACGGGAAGAGGTGACCTCGAGCCAGCCCTGAGTGCACAATTACTTCTAGCACCCATCACTTTTCCACTCTGGGCAGCTTCACATTAGATCCCATTGCTCCTTTTCCCAAAGTTAAGCTCTCCTTAAAGTGCACCACAAGCAGGAACTGCAAAGCCAATACAGAAATGCCTCACGGAGGAAAATTTCCCCATCGGCATGTGCAATGCACGAAGCCACGAGTAACACAGTGGGTGAGCTGGCTGCCTCCTACTGAATTCAGGGACAAGGCTGAAAATAAGAAATGTTCCACCCTGGGTAAAATAAGGTGAAAAGAAACCGCAGCTCAGCACAGAAAACACATGATGCTCACGTACTGCTTTGCAGTTAAACCCTTCCCCGCCTGCTCCTGCACTCCTTAATGTCTAAGTCCCACATCAGCTTGAACAGCAGGTTTGTATGCTCAAAGAAGCTAGGATTTGGCTATAAGAATTGAAAGTTCTTACCACAAATACACTGGCTCTTCAAACACGATGAACCAGTGCCCAGAAAGAGGTATCTTCTGATCTCACATGGCAACCCAGCTTAACTCCTCTAAAAACAAACCCATGCAGCTCCCCTCTGAAGGAACTCTGTAACTCACAGCCCTTTAGGGAGCTGCTGGGATCCTCCCCCAACTTTCCCTCCTGAAACTTTCCTATGGTTACAACAGGGTTTGCTTCAGCAGGGTCCCCCCTCCCCCTTCTGCATTCATCCACCAGGAGAATTCCAGCCAACAACTGCTCCTATCAAAAAAAGAAGTCTCAGCAAGCTCTGAGGTTGCAAGACATGAATATTTGTACTGTAAATTTGGCTCCAAGAGAAACACTTGTCCGGCCAGGAAAGAGGCACCTGACCTGCCTGCCCAGGAAAGCCACGCCAATGCCACTTCAAACAAATACTTACAAGAACCTGCCATGTACATCTACAGACCAATTATTCACAAAAATTAAGAAGTGAATTTTTTGAGACTGAAATGTTTCAGAAATGCATTGATATGGAGGAAGATGCAAGTTTTTCCTGGATTATTCAGAAACTTTCTCTGGCCTCCAAAGAGACAGGATTTCACTCCCTGTCCTGGTTGCTGAGGCAGGAAAACAGAGCAGCAGCGTGCAACCAGTCTGTAACTTCACTACTTTCTCTTTATGCCAGAAAACAGCTTCCTTTTTCCTCAACACTCCCTTTCTCACACCACTTTCCATTTTCAATGACCCTTTCTGTTCAGAAAATGTCAGACGTTCATTTCATCACTCCTCTTCAGTGCTCTTGACTTCTCGCCTGGTGAAAAGTCTCAACGTGTCAGACTCTAGCTTCAATTTGGGAATAAACTTTGTCTTTTTTCAGACTCTCAGGGTTAGTTTTCAAGGTTGGCACACCGAGGACCATCTTGGGCCTGGCTGTACACACACAAAACCGCAGAGATGCTGTCCTCTGCTCAGATGAGGACTTCCATCATGTCTGTATCTGGAAACTCAGGCTTGTGGAGCAGGCTGCTCACTCTGCCTTTGCTGTCAGGCAGCTTCCCGTGGCTGGAGTTCTCTGCAATGGAAAGAAGGGAAAGTTGGTCTTCAGTCCAAATTCAAGTTGTTCAAAGCAAATTAACCCATTCCTTGAGGGTGGGGCATGTATGACCTGTACACCCTACATACTGAAAGCCATATTTGTTCAGGACACTAAGAATGTGTGATGCTGAATTCCCCACACAATGACAGCAGGTATGTCGGTGTGCACAGACCTCAAGGTGGTATTTAAGAGATACACACCAAAGAACCTCTTTAGCTAAAAGCATAGAATGGTCTGGGTTGGAAGGGATGCTAAAGACCATATAGGTCTGTGATAGTCAGCCCTTTTAATAATATATGTATGCATGTTTTTAGAGGGAAAACTTGCTTTTGAGAGGAGATGAATGTGTAAGAAACAGGCTCTTTCAAAATAACATTCATAAAATAAATATCTCCTTTGCTAGGGCTGCAAACCAGCAGTTTCCACCTTTCAAAAATAACTAAAATTGTACTTCTTCACCCCTCCTAAAAAAAAGATCTCCACTTTCTCCTTACTATTGCCCCCAGCTTTTCTTTAAAAATTAGGGAGAAAATGGTGGTTTAACCAACCATGGTTTCAGTTGAAAAAAAAGAGAAGATTTTGAGCAGGTGGGGTGAGTTTTCAAGGTGTGAAATTCTAAATTTTATATCTAGCAGCATAAATATCTACCCTACCACAGACGAACAGAGCTTTACAGAAGCTGCTGAGCACAAAACTCTCCAAAGCCATCCTGGGCAGCCTTAGAAAGTTCTCTCTCTACAGTTTTATTTTCCCTGAAGAAACCTCCACCACACCTTACACACTGTGGCAGCATCACATCCCCACACCTTGCCCCATTAATACTGATGTGTCTCTGGGGATTGCTGATAGCCCCGGGGGTGCTGACATTTTGCACTGGCAGGGATCTGGCAGAGCTCACCCAGTTTCTCGCCGGCCACTCGTGTCCCCAGGGGCCGTGGGGCTGGGCTGTGTGAAGAGGTGGCACCCAGGCGTCCCCGGCCGGGGAAGGAGGCGGTGGCGGGCCAGAAGAGCTCTGTGGTTTTGTCCGTCTGGGTGCTGCTGTCCTTGCTGCCCGTCTTGGCGTGGGCTGCTGGCACTGGGACGGGCATGCAGGACAAGGAGGGCAGAGGAGGAGGCAGAGAGGGGCCTGATGGGTGGTCGTGGTGCTCCTTTCCCAAGAGCAGCCCTGAAAACACAGAGAGGTCAGTCACATCCTGGCTCAAATGCACGTGCTGTCCCCCATCCCACCCTGGAGCTACAAGATGCTGGGTATGGCTCCAGTCATTTAGTTCAGCTTAGCTTCTCCCCTTGATGCTGCTTTTTCTGGCATCCACATGGTACTTTCCTACAAAACAGCTTTTTGAAAGCAGCTTCCCCTCTCTGCCTCCCCTCCTGCACACCCATCCCAGTGGCACTTACTCCTGACACTGCCTTGCACACCTCCACAACCCCATCCTATGTGGTCCCAAACAACAGGCAGTCCTGCACTGATTTTCCCATTTATCTGCCACATCACATCATGCTGTTCTATCCAAAGGGATCCTCACCCTCTTGATTAATTTTATCCAGGCTTTATTTCTAGCCCAAATTTGTTATTTACTCCCATAAAGTTGCAAACATTATGTGCTCGTATGTGGGAGGTCTTCCCTCAACTATGGCTTTCTATCATTAGACTGATTTAATATGATTTAAAATGTAATTAAGGTACGATGCAAGGTTAAAGAATGGTTTTTTACTTAAGCACAAGGACATATTCTGCCCATGGAAAGTGCTCTGGATATGATCTGTCAGGGCAATGTGTGCTAAGGCACTTTGGCTAAGCTCAAGCAGAAGGACTAGGATGAAGTGATGGATGAACCAAAGCTTAAGCAAAAGCTGAACTCACCTATGCTTCCCTTCCAGAGCTTTTCCTCCTTCCTCTCCTCAGCTATCTGGTTGCTGGTGAGCGAGGTCTGGCGCGAGTGCGCGCCAGCAGCGGCGGCGATGGAGGGCACGGAGCGAGCCGGCCGCAGGCTGGCGCTGTCAGCTTTTCCAGGGTCCTTCCGCGACCGCTGCTGAAGGACCTTGATCATGGCATCCTTCTCAATTATTTTGGCGTGGAGATTTTTTATTCTGCCAAAATATGAATGCTCTGCTTACAGGAATGGAAAAAACATTCATATGGGTAGGTCTCCACACCTGGAGGGAGGTGCCCAGGCAGATGCCCTGCTGCTCTGTCCTGTCTGCTTTTGGATACTTGGGCAAGACAGCTCCCAGCAGTTCCTCCAAGGATAACCAGGCACTTCAAATAGCATTTCTAACTATTAAGCCAAAACTTTTCTGCAAGGTTAAGTGAGCCCATCTATGCTATGGTTTTACTAACCCAGCAGGAGCAGTGGGCAGTATCCTGACCAGGCTGCACAATACAAACACATAGGCAATTTTCACCCCTGTAATGCATTGGGGCCAAATCTGGAAACTATGCTTTGGCAGACTGAGTTAACCCCAGGATTCAGGTCTGTTGTCAGCTGGAGTAAAAAGACCTGTTGAAGTGAGCTCCTTTTGGTTTCTCTAAGAGGTGGTCTGGGCTCTTCCTTCTCCCTCACTGCTGCAAAAACAACCAGCACATGGTGTTCAGAGCTGAGCAAAGCTCACTACTTCTCTCATACCCTTTAGACCCTAAAGACTCTCAAATCACTAAAAAAAATGGGATTACCTGAACTCTTCTCCAGAAATGATTAGCACCACTGAACATACTGAACAACAACCACACCATACTGAACAACTACAAAACTATGTTTTGCAAAAATTTGTACACTTTGACAGTCAAATTACTAGCCTGACTGTGCTGTACAATATATAATGCAATGCAGGTGCATTTTGTGAAGCGGTGAAAGCATTCGTTTTCATCATCACATGTTTAATGAGCAATTTAAACAAAGATGCTAATCTATATTTATGAAAGCAGAGACAAAACTCCTCTACTTCCTCGGAAGCAGGATTAGCTTGCATCTGTGAGTGAAAAACAAAACCCAAACCCAGTAAAAACAATCACTGGTATTTTCCACAGCAACAAATACACCTTTTTTATAAAAGTGTCTGCAAATTTATGTCCTTGTATGCCAGACTACTTTTAATAGTGGAACAGCCTCTGCTTTGTAAAAATGTTGGGTTTGCCACAGAAGGCTTAACAGGAAGGTAGGGAGGAAGTTATGACAACAATTCTTTAATCCCCGTTTGAATGCTGAAGAGCAAAACTAAAGTCAAAGTGAAGCCAAGCCCATCCTTTCCAGGCATGTAGGAAGGAACAGAAGGGCATCCTGGTTTATCTGAGCCCAGCCCCAACCCCACAAGAAGCAGGAATGGCAAGGCCTATCCCTTACGTGTACTCCATGTCCTGGCAGCGGCGGTTGGCTTGCACGATCTCCTCCTCCTCCTGCCAGCCCCGCACCTCCAGCGCCGCCTCGCCGTAGCTGCTGTTGTGCGAGTGGCTCGGGGCCGAGGCATCCCTGGCAAAGGGTTCACCACGGTCAGTCAGGCTCCTGAGGCTGAGGCTGGCTTTTGCAAGTGACATTGAAACTTGCAAAGACAACCCCAAACCCATGCTCAAAGAGCAAGCCAGGAATGCTGTCCATCAAGCAGATGGATACCTGGCATCGGGTATCCTGTAGCAGGCTACTCTTGGCTTGGGCTGGGTCATTCATGCCATTCATTTAACTGGGTTAAAGGAACAGAGAGCATGCTGGAATCATGACCCACACAGGGATAACAGCCACCCAGAAGGAGAGGGTCAGACAGAGGGACTCATGCACCAGATTCCAAGTCAACAAGACTACATCATGAACCAGCAACAAAGCTCTACACTTTGGAAGTTGAAAAACAGCGCAGTAATTGCTGCCTAGACTGGAGTGTGAAAGGAAAGTCCATCCTGAGTCACACATTTGAACACCTTTCAAAGGGAAAACTCACTTTAGGATGTTTCCTGGGGATTTGGTTCCTAAGAAACTGGGTTGAGAAGTTAACTATCCCATCCTCCTGATCACTGGGAAGTGTCACTGCCTTTTGTGCTTTTGGCCACCACACTTTGACACAGACAAACTGGAGACATATCCAGACACAAACAATGTGAATGGGAAAAGGTTTACACTAGGGCATGTTAGGAATGGCCGAGGGGAGGAAGCTAGTTCAGACCAGGGAAAATACAGGGAATATCTGTCTTCCAATATTTACAAGGCCATTTAAACATCAACAGTGGTCAGTTGTTCATCCTGTATGCCTGGGAAGGACAAGAATCAATGGAGGTAATTTGCAGTGAAGAAGTTTAGCTTAGCTATCAGGAAAAACATTTTAGTTTGAAGATTAATGAAGTGGTGAAAAGGGTTATTTAGGCAATAAAATTTCCCTTACTACAGGTTTTTGAAACTAGGTTAAACAATCTTGTTGCAGGCCATGGGATGGGTGCAGCCATATACCACGTCCCTGCTCACTCTGCTGGGGTACTGGGAGGAGCTGCCTTACCTGTGCTGTGTAATTTGGCACCTTGAGACTCCCAGAGGGCATTGCTTCAATTTGATGCCTAGATTTGATAAGCCTTTGGACCCAGTCAGAAGGATAAATTCTGTCTCAAGCAACTATTCTGTCTCACAGGCGTGACACTCAGGAGAAGTGCATTAACCCTGGCAGTGTGACTCAGCAGGGCAAGGCAAGCAATATCCACCGTCAAGAGAACACCCATTCTGTACTATTTTGCCATGCTGTCCCTGTGAACAGAGCTGCCTGCTGGCAGCAAGGCCATCTTACCTCTCTGTGGCAGCTGTGGCTGCAGCGTTCATGGCAAAGTGCCGGATCGTACTCTCCTCCAGGTACTTCTGCTCCCACTTGGTCATGTCAGCTTCCAAGGCCAGGATCCTCTCCTCCTTCTCCCGCACCAGCTCCATCAGGGCCGGGGCATTATGCTCTGGAAGGCTGCTTGCCTGGTAGCTGCCCTGCCTCTGCCAGTGGAAACAGTGACAGATATTCATGCCCTGCCAAGCATGGCATGCTGACCCTTTTTTCCTCAGTTTTCTGGCACATAGAAAGACACATTCCCATGTCTTTTGACAGGGGCAGGTGAAAATCCCAGGCTAAATCCCTTAGCTTGCAGGAGAACAGGCACATTGACCATATGTGCAGCCCTAGCACACACTTCCCCAGACCATGCTGACAGAAGCAGGGATTTGGCTGCTACCCTGGATGTGCAGAGATTTCCTGGGATAACCCAAGCCAAGGGAAAAGTAGGAAAAAAAATGGTAGGAAAAGAAGCAATGAAGCTTTAAAAAATACTCTTCTTGCTGGGACTTCATGCCCATGGCTGGGCAGTGTTAAGTATGGACAGGCAGTTATTACCAGAGGGTTTATATATTAAAGCTGAAAAAAAGCACCTTGTGACCTAGTTACATGTACCCTGTTTAAAACAGCAGCTGGGAAATTATCCCAGCCACGCATTTAAGCTTGTCCCTTCTGGCACATTAGTTCTCTTGTGCCCTCAGGGGATGCTTTCCATGGTGTGACAGCTAACTTTCTAACTAGAGGGGCAGAAGATTCCCAGGCACCTGTGGGGTGGCTCCCATGGGATGCTGACAAGCAGCAATGGGTGCATAACTGTTTCCATCTATGCTGCAAGAAAAGTGCTTGTCCAGGCAGGATTTATTCCACCCAGTTACAGCACTTTAATTTAAGCCACCTAAGCAGCATGGGTAGCTACCCTGAGCTCCTCTCACTGCTGACAGGCAGGCAGAGGGAGATCCAGTCCTTGGCTCAGCAGAGGGATGAGTGCACAATGAGGGGAGAGGCATGAAGCTCTGGGAGAACTCAGTAGAAATAAATTAATTTTTCATAAATGCAAGAGATTTGTTATACTCCATGGTGAATGATATTGTGCTGAAGAGGAAACCATGTCTCGGGAGCACTGACTTCTCATTCATGCTGCACCTTGAAGTTCCACTGCAAAAGCTGTACCATTGAAACTAGAGATACCAGGAAAGGGCCGCAGCCTTTGCCTCTGGTGCAGTAACAACATGTTTGGAAGATGCTTTCTGGAAATGCAGTATGGAGTGGCCCTTGGAATCAATGACTGTGACTCTGCTCCTGCAAAAATACAGTCAAACCTCTGTCAGGAAGACATTATTTTGGAAGTGTGATCCTGATCTACAAATGGTATTCTGGAACATCACAGCAGCTTGTCATCTTCTGAGTCAAAACATCTGCCAGCCCTGCACACTGAGCCTGCAATGCTGACTGGAAGGGTTTGTTTATTGGTCCCAATTAGTGTGCCAGTGATAAGGAAGATTTGCCATTTGGACTCAGCTACCAGCAAGCCAGGGACAGAAGAAATTCTGGCTCACTGTCTCTTTGTGTCAGAGTCCCTTCTGCTCACTCTGGTAAAAAAATGAGAAAAGAAAATCACCTTTTTTTCTCTGCAATGAGAAAATGTTTCAGTAGCTATAACTTTGATTACTCAAAGAAGACAGCTCTGAAGCAAAAAACGGAAGTATTTTGAAGTAAAGTGAGTCTTTGCAACAATGTGGCTCATAAACAAATAGTATAGATAAAAATAGTAAAAATACCCCAAATTTTCCCCCAAAGCTTATAGGTAAGACAAGAAGTTAAGAGCATCTTTCCTCTTAAAACTGACTAGATGAAATGGGTGCAGGCATTTGAAAATTATGCCAACCCAACAACCAATTGCTAATTACGGCGCCAAAATAATTTAAAAATAAACAATCTGTAAATTACAGAAGAATTTTCTGCCAAAATGAACAGACATAGCCTGAACTTGCAAGACAAGGATTTCAGCAACAGTCCATACCTGTTACTTAATACATCAATCTGTCCCAGCCTTGGTTCTAGTTTTACATTCACTTGAATTTAAATTGTATTTTTCTCAGATGTTCTTTTCTCAAATGGCATTAGCATGTTATATTCTACACAATTCCCTTGTTAAACTGGAAGAGAGCTGGCTGAAGGGGAACTGAGAAAACTTGAACATCAAGCCTGTGGTGGACTGGGCAAGAAAGACTTAAAACACTTCTATGGCAGCAAGAAAGAGTAGAGATGAATGAGAAGGGTCTGCAGGGAGCAGCAGCCGAGTGAAACCTTGGGCAGGGTGCTGGGGAACCTGCCCTGCCCTGGGGCTGCCAGAAGGAAGGGGATGCTCTCAGGTCTGGCTGCTTCATGACTCTGCAAACTCCTGACACTGACCCTGACCGTAGAGCTATTTCCCAGTGGCATCCTGCCAGCAGGATCAGCCCTCTGCTTTCTGGCAGCACAAGCTCTGTGTAACAGCTGCTTTGGTGTCCACTAATGGCTTATAAATAAGGAAAGGTTATAGTAGCAGATGCGTGCGATGACAGATACGGGTGAGTGCTTCAAGAGTTTCAAGAGTTCCAAGAGCATCATGCTTTGCTTATGTTGCTGCTTTTTCCCCAAGCTGTAGTCTGATACATTTAGCATATCTGCTCACTCTGCTCCAGGGCCAATGCCCATGTATTTGTCATTTGGTGTGGGCTGCATCCTGGAAATTCTCCCTGCAACCTCCTCTTTTTTTTTTTTTCTTTTCAAGATGAATGACTTTGTGACTTAGGGATGAAGGTGTTATAACAAAGGAGTAACTGTGCATAAAATACAAACATAGCAATACCCCTCTAAGGACACAAGGCTGCTGAAAAACAAGGGAACACACACAGAAATTCAAAGGTATACTCCTAGCCCATTCTGGACTGGACTGATATATAAATAATTTATTGTCTGAAGATGATATCACTTGGCTCCAGATCTGTCATGGTTGAAGTTTCTGTGAACCACACACATCAAGTATTGCACAGAACAAATATGGGCCTAGATCTTGGTCCTACCAAATCCCACATCACCCCACTTGGCCTTTTCAATGAAACATCAGCTAAAATTTTTGGGGTGAATCTCACACGTACTGCACCTTTCCTCTCCTCCTTCTGGTTTGTGCAAAAACCAGCTCCACAAAAACCTGTGGAGCTGGTTTTTGCACAATCTACCATTGCTAGAGACATGGAAGGACATTTTCCCCTGCCTGCCCTTGGGCAAGGGAACCAGGACATCTCAGCCCAGCAGCAGGCAGGGTTCAACTGTATCCAGAGCCCCACAGCAGAACGGCCCCATCCTCTGCTGAAGATCAGGAATAAGAATCATAGAGTGATTTGGGTTGCAAAGGACCTTCAAAGATCATCTAAATCCATCCCTCCTGCCATGGGCAGGGAAAACTTCATGAGTTCAAAGCCCCATCCAACATTACCTTTAACACTTCCAGTGACCAACGACCCTATCCAAAGGAATGGTTTAGGAGGAAAGCCCAACAATCCCAATATAAAGACAAGGTGTCACCTGGCAAGGCTGCAAGCGACCACCTCTGTTCAAATCAACACCAAAGGCCCCGTGCTGGGGTCCTTCCCATATCACCCTGTGCTCACCTGCTGCATCCTCAGCGAGTCCAGCTCTCTCTCCAGGCGTGTGCGCAGCCGCCGCTCCATCTGCTCCCTCTTCTCACAGGCTGCCTGCAGCTGTGTCAGCGCCTGCTGCAGCTTCTCCACCTTCTCCACGTAGGCCTGCTTCCTGCGCAGCTGTGGGGCACAGGGCTCAGCAGGCTGCAGGGCACTGTACCCCACCCCAGGCCACTGGGACCCCTGAGCACTTCAGGCACACACTGAGCTTGAGCATGGCTTGGGTCATTTGCTTCCAAGAGGGAAAGGATGGTGTCTTTGATGGGCAGGGAATGTGCACAGCAGGCATTGCTGGGACACAGCTACCCTTTTTGGAAGGAATGCTGCCCCAAATCTTCCACCCACTGGGGATCTGCTAACCATGAAAACCCCCCAGGCCATTTCTAGGCAAGAGCTGTGATGTTGGTGGACACTCTTTGGGCAAATACTCAGGACAAATCCAGTTAAGAGGAATCCCCATGGGTTTTATTGACTGCTGACACTCAGCACACTGCCTGCACCCAAACAGAGGGGTTCTTTCTTCACTCCTGCATATTTGCTCAGCACAGGTGGAACAAGTGGAGTGCCAGTAGCCAGAAGCACTCCCACCTACTCCATCCTGTCCATGGTGATCTGTAGATGGGATGTCCTTGGCAGCTAAAGCCAGGCCCTCTTTACATCTATAATGCAATTACTGAAGGGCTAAACATGGCACAAGGATTTTGCAATGCAGGGTTTTACAGCCAGAGATTGCTCAAGCAGCATACCCCAAAAGGGGTACAAATTCCTCTTCTGTCACCCTAAATCCATCCATGTCACAGGTGAAGTGAAATACAGACTTGCTTACAGCAAAAGCATAGCTTGGTCTAAACAAACCTCCCTAATGCCTGGCACCAACAACTGGCAGAGTGACCTCCTTAGCCCTGCTGCAATCTAGGGTAATACTTACAGCTCCCTGGGCTTTCCCTGAAAATTAATGAGATTATAAACCCCACTAGTCTCTGGCAGCAGCATGAAGACTGCATTTCTTAGGAGCTCACTACTTGGCAAGACCCACATAGCAGAGACTTCTTGCTGAAAGTGCTATTTTGGCAGTAGGAAGGTGTTTGTGTCACCTCCAGCCACACCAGCATGGATAGAGAGGGTTAGGGAGCTCCCCCAGGGTCTCTGGCAGCAGACCTCATCTGCTCCCCAAGTCCTGCCAAATGCTGCAGGGTCCATCTGTATCACAGCAGCCACAATTTGGCTTTGGAGCAGCCCTCTAGGCCCCAGGGTTCACACTCACACACCTCTGCCCTTGTGGCTGAGGCAATGCTCACGTGCCCACCACTGCCTTCAAAAACAATTTTGCATGAGATAGGCAACAAGACAGTTCTCATAAACATTCATAAGTTTATAGGGAGGTTCTCAAACCAATTCTGACTTTTCTAGTCTGCATGTAGATTCAAAAAAAAAAACCAAAAAAACCACCAATGCATTTAAAACACAAAGTATAAAATCTTGTAATTCAAATTAATTTGGGTTGCCAGTGAAGCATGGATCCATAAGGGAAGGATGGCTAAAATCAGAGACATGTGACGCTAAGCTCCAACACCTCACAGACACACAGACTCCAAAAAACCCCAAAACTGGATGGCAACTGGAGAGGTACCAATCCATCCTCCTGCTGCATGGTAGGATCAACTGCACATAAAACCTGGCACATATCTCTATAAGCTGTTTACAAAATCACCCAGGGGTAGGAATTACACGACCTATCCCTGCAAACCACTTCACAGCTTATTTTCCTTTACTGCCAGAAAACTTTTACCCTAATGTCTAATCTGGCTTTCTCTTATGCAATTTAAGCAAATTACTTCTTGTTCTGTTTCCAAACTGTGATCTACCAGAGCAAGAAGCATTTAATTAAACAATTCACTTCTTCACCAGATCAGCAAACTTGCCTGAACACTGCCCTTGTCCTGGGAATTAGAAAATAAAGATGAAGAACAGCTAAGGCTAAAAGAAGATCATCCAAGCAAATAAATCTGAGTAAAGATGAGTGGGTCTTGGAAAACTATCTGTGCTAGACATGTAACTCCAGTTTGAACAATTGAATTCTACAGATATGAGATTTGAATGAAAGACTGTAAGAGATGGAGAACCCACTATCACTCTAAGTAGATTGTTTCAGTGTTCATTACTCTTAACTCTTTATTTTCAGCCGGATTTGTTCAGCTTCAGCCTCCAAACACTGCATCTCATTATTTCCTCTTATGTTAAATAGAAATGTTTAATCTCTCTAGAGCAACCCTTCTTCATCCATCCCTGGATGGATAAAGGGAGAGCAGTGGATTTTGTCTACTTCGATTTCAGCAGGGCTCACCATACTGTCTCTCACAACATCCTAATGGGTAAACTCAGGAACCATGGATGAGTGGACGGTGAGGAGGATTAAGAACTGGCTGAGGAGCAGATCCCAGGTGGCACAGGGTCTGGTTGCAGGCTTGTCACTAGTAGTGTCCCCCAAGGTACAATACTGGGCCCAGCTTTGTAAACCTATGAATCAATGACTTGAGTGAAGGCGCAGGTGCCTCCTCAGCAAGCTGCCTGCAGAGACAAAGCTGGAAGGAGATGCTGATAGCCCAGAGGGCTGTGCACCCCTCCAGAAGGACCTCAACAGGCTGGAGAGATGGGCACAGAGGAACCTTCTGAAATTCCACAGGGGAAAATGCAGAGCCCTGCACCTGGGGAGAAATAAGCCCATACTCCAGTACAGGATGGGAGCTGACCTGCTGGAAACAGCTCTGCAGAGAAGGACCTGAGGGTTCTTTACTATGTGGGTGTCCGAGCACTGGAACAGATTGCCCAGAGAGGTTGTGGAGCCTCCCTCACTGCAGATAATCAAGAACCATCTGGACACAATCCTGTGCCATGTGCTCTAGGATGACACTGCTTGAGCAGGGAGGTTGGACCAGAAGACCCACTGCTGTCCCTTCTAATCATAACCATTCAGTGATTCATGTTCATGTGCACAGTCTGAAGCTCAGACAGCTTTTCACTTAAACTCTTCCCAGCAAAGAACAGCTTCTGGACCCCAAATAAATTGTACAGCTGCTTTCTGAGCCCTCTCCAATTATTCAGTTTTCTATTCAAAGCATGGAACAGACACATGATTCCCGTAGCAGTCTGCTAAATGACATGTGGTAATAATACCACCTACACATTTTGAATTAAATCCTTCTACAAGCAGGCACTCAAGGATAATGCAGATTTATACAGAAGACTAGCTTATGTTAATTCAACTTACTCGCTACTGCTTATATCTCAAGGCTTGATTTAAAATGCTGTTAATTACATGCTGGTGGTAGAACAAATCTGGGCAGATTTACAAAGCAGTGTATGAGCTAGAGCTCTGTTAACAATAATTACAGTCATTTTGATTTGACTGAATTTGTGTTTTCCTCAATATATTCCAAATTATAGTAAAAATCCCTGGCTTAAAATGAAGGTTTAAGAGTACAGCTTATCTTCTGCATGTGTTTAAGTAAGATCCAGAAACATTGGAGACTGTTGAGAAGGTGCTCAGATTCAGCCATGAAAACAGGACAAAAGGGAAAGTGAGTGCTGGAGTTTGGGCATGTGCTGGCAGCCTCAGATTACCTGCACTTCACCCAAGCTGCCTGACACTGCCTTGAACAATTAAAATATACAGCTGGGCTAAAATTCATTTGAACTGCCCCTAGAATGAAAAAAGAAGTTAAAAGGTACCAGATCAACATGGGTTTGTCAGGCTAAGGACTCTGATATAGTCTGGCAAATACCAAGGCATCACTTTCATATGTCACCTTTGAGACTTCCATGCCCAGGGCAGGAGATTACCACCTCTGTAACACCTACAGTACCCCAGGCAGGAATGTACCATACCACCTCCATAACTCCTACCATGCCCTAGGCAGGTCAGGAGCTCCCTAGAGCTAACTTCTGCTCAGCTCAACCAGTCCACAATCCAGGATCCAGCAGAGGCACATTTCTGTTGAATGGCTAGACTAAAACCTGACTACTGCCAAACTCTTAGAGCCCTAAGGTGCAAACATATTTACTACAACAGAGCAGGCACAAGGTAGGTTCTTGAACCACCTGCCTGGAGACCACTGGATAAATGCTTCTGCCTTCACTGGTCTCTACTCAGCAAGTCAGTATTACCCGCCAGTACCACACTGACAGCCTGTGGACCAGACACAAGCTAACCACTATTTCTTCCCATCCCCTGCATGATGCCATGAGTGTAGAAGCAGGCATTGCCATCTAAACCATTCCTTTATTCAGCCCTTTGTAATGAAATGCAAATAGAAAACCTCAGGTTGCCTTTCAGACAAAGAGTGTCAAGTGAATTATGTACAGATTAAAGATATGCTGGCTCCTGCAGCTACCCCAAAGGGACTGCCTCAAATACACCCAGATGGTGAGCAGGCTTTAGCCTAACTAACAAAGGAGCAGTTAAACTTAATGTGATCCTCTTCTTGCTGCTGAGTGCATCCATCCAAGGAAATCGAGTTTTTAAAATGTTTCTAAACAGGGAGTCAGAATGGGCCATTTTGGTCAGGTACAAACCAGCAATGTCTTCAGCACTCACATATAGCACTTTAAATCTTCCAGACTCTAAGTAACCATTGGTTTAGCCTGACAGGGAGTCTGTAATTGTCATTTTACTGTCAATAAAAAACACTCAAAAACCACAGAGGTCAATTCTCCCTTCGTATTTCCAAGACAATGAATGGCACTTAAGTTAATTGCAAGCATTTGAGAAAGGCTTTCTCTGCTCCCCACAAGACCACTTGCATCCCGGCTCCCCTCGCCAGCCCTGGGGAGGGAGCAGGTGGAAAATGAGGCTCTGAAGGGGAGCAGAGCTGCCCAAGATCCTGCCAACAGTCTGTGCCAGAGTCTGAACCTCTACCTAATCTGCTAGGGCAGAGGGTCATCAACAGCCTTCCTGTCACTGATGACCTGCCACTTAGGTAGTAAAGATCAGGTTCCTTTTACTCCCCATAAAACATTCTCCCTCTGTTGGTCACAGGGACAGAGATTTTAGGGGTCTGAAAGATCAAAAGGGCCTGTTTTGACAGTTTTACGCGATCTGCTAGCACTCATAGACTTTCAACCAGTTACTGGATCCATACTTCCTGATTTGAAGGTCCTTAAGGAATACAATAAATTGAGACTTTCTTCACCAGTAATGGAGAACTGATATTGTCACCCTTAGGTATAGACAAAATTGAACATTATTTCCACTATGAATTTGTCCAGTTTCAGCTTCCAACTGCTAGGTATTGCTCTGTCAGTTTAAAGAATGCCTGTGCCTGGGATTTCGCTTCCTCTCTGAATACCTATTTTCACTACCAGGCTTTTATGATTACTTATTGGGATTTTTGCACTTCTTGGGTCTCACAGTATGATAGGTTCTCTTCAGATCTCAAATAAATCCTGCAGCTCTAAATCCTGGTCAGTCAGTCTGCTTCCAGCCAGATCAGCCAGATATTTTAAGATGTGAAGTCACCAAGTCCTGCACTGCTGTGTGCATCTCAAAAGCTTCCTGATATTCTTTGGTGAGAAATGGGATGCACTAACACCACATGTCTCTATCACAGTCCCAGGCCAGTGAGTAGTCAGTTTTTTATTCAATTTTTCTGTTAAATACTACCATTACCTCAGCCACCAGCTAGCTGAATTTAATCTCCCTCCATGTTGAAGGCTTTGCTCTAGACACAACTATGGTCTCCTTTGCTTGCTTGTTTGGCTCAGTATTGTGTAACTACACATTTTCTCTATAAAAGGGCAAGTGCAAGGGAAACAGGAAGACCTAGCACCCTGTGGGTAGAAGAGAATCAGGACTTGGATAGAGAAAGGTCTAACCATGAGCCATGCGCATCCTCAGAGCACAGAAATATTGTCCATGCCTCACCTCCTCTTCCAGCTTGATAACCTTGGCTTGTGCATTGTTTAGGGCCTGGTCAAGGATTTCAATGTGCCTCCGCTGGTCCTCATTGGCTGAACGCAAAGCTGCCAGCTCCATCTCCAACTTTTCCTTCTCCTTCAAGTTCTCTTTGTCTGAAAGAAAGACAAGAACAAGAGCCACGCCATGAGGACAGCTCACAGACCACACACTAGAGGAAAGCTGCCACCTCCCTAGAAGAACAGAAATTATGAAAAGCAGCAGCGAGCAGGGCCTTTACAACACAGTGCTGAGACACAGTGGGCAAGGAGCTCCTACTGGCAGGGCTCAGCCCCTCAGTGCCCAGCCTTACACCAGCAGCAGAGACCAGTGGCAGCTTGGGCTGCATCTGTACCAGCAGAGCTTGTGGCCCCCAGCACTACCTCAGAGCTTTCCATTCTGCTGAACTGCTAGCATATCCCCCAGAAACACTCTGGCTTGCACCAGGTACCCCTTTTTTACACAACACCCTGCATCAAGAGCTGCTGATAGTTGCCAGCTTCAATTCTGCTGCCTTCTGTGCTGGGCAAGAAGCCTCAGCCCCATGGATGTGGGCTGTGCTGTGCCTCGAGCCATTTGCAAAGATGGAGATCATGACACACAGAAAATTTGAAGAAGCCAAATAGTAAACACAAATCTGTGCTGGACGGCCTGAAAATGGAAAGGGGGGAAAACAGGAACAAAGAATATGACAGGAGGCCTCTGTACAGGCTTCCTCTGCCCATGCAAAGAAAAGGGAGGCTGTGGGAGCCATTTCAGGCCTATGAGGCTCTGGGTGACCTTCCAGACCTGCAGGACTTAAGGATCCAGTGGCTAGTGCTCTCCTTCTATTAAGCATTACGAGTGAGACTATGTAGATAACCTCCGTGCTGAAAAATCATCCCTTTTTTGGGTAAGATTTAAAACAACATTAAAAAAATAAACAACCGGCTAAATTCAGTCTGCTCTGCTCACATCTTTGTCTCCAGCAACAAATTGCAGGCCCACCATTGACTTTGCTGGCAAACTGCCTGGGGAAATGCTTGGCTCCATCTGCTTCTGCCCTGACAGTGCTGAGAAGCCATTTCTGGGAGCACAAGTGTCACAGGCCAATCACTGGTTGCCTGATGTTAGAACACAAACAGTTAATGAGTGGAGTGAGCAGGGGATCGAGGTTTCTTTCAGTCACATCTGAAATTTCAAAATCTGGCCTTTGTTCTGAATTACAACAAAAATAGATACTTGGAAGGCCTCCAGGAAGGAAAACTTCCTCCAAAAATTTATTTGGCATCAATTAAATGTTGTTTTCATTTTTGATTTTTTAAAACATAGCATTACATAATTTATTATTTTTTAACTGAAGTGAAAAGTTGTTTCAAAAACACTGAAACATGGGAAACCTGCCCCAAACATCCAGCCCATGCCACCCAAATGTGGCCACTCAAGCTGGAAGCCCAATCTTCCACCTTCCCCCAAGCAGGGTCAGAAAACTTCTCATGGCCAAAGCCATTCCATTTTAGATATGAACTACCCCCAGCAGAGCCACATTCTTCCTTAGTGTGAGGTGGGATGAGAACAGGTTTAATTCACACACCATCAGCAGGTGCCTGCAGCGAGGTGAGACGGACACAAGCTGAGCCATGTGTACAAGGCAAAAGTGGACGAGGTGAGCCCAAACCCACCGACCTGTCCTCTCATTTATACCACCAGGAGGAACTCAGCACCTCATAAAAACTGCTGGTGCCAATACCATCATGCTGGTCACTGCAAAGCCCACAGGCAAAGCCCAGTGAGTGCTGTGGACACTTCACCACTGACTGCCACTATGAGCCATCTTGGGATTATGGTGGCCTTCCTCTTCCCTTGTTGGCATGGGATTTTATGTTAGAGGTGCAGACCTCTTCCTTCAATGGGAAAATATTTACTTCAATCAGATTAGCCAGAAGGAACATTAGTATCTATTGTAGAAAAGTGTAAATCTGGGCAAATTATCAGGGAGCTAATGTCATTAGAGGGTGAGGAAGCTGGAAGATGAATGCTATTTCAGCCCTCCACTCCACCACCTCATGCTGGGACCACACATGCTCTGCTCTGGATTTGAAACCCGTGTTTCACGTTACACATGGGGATAACTTAGCAAAACAGTGCTTGGGATCCTAATTTTCAATTTCCATTCATGGAAGTTGAAGTCCTCAGCCTACCCCATTGCATTGTGCTTTCTATCCTGCCAAGAGGACTAATTATACACAAATACACAAAATAATCACCACTAGAAAGCTGGCAAGAAAAATTTCCTGAACAGCTCTCAACATTTCTCCATGTCAGCTTCATCCTGTAAAATTCTAGATGTACATTTTATAAGTTCTTTACTTGCATTAATTTTTAGTGATGAAGGACTTAGTTGAACGTATCTTAAATTCTCTTCAAGTGCAAACAAAGTATCCTTAAAGTCTTAAAACACTGTTTTACTGCACTACCCTTACATACACCTTTTTAACTAAAGATCTCTAATTAATAACTATTTCTGTGTTCTGCTGGGTCACTGCCATACCCCATTACAGAACAGCTCCCAAAAGACTTCACTGTTGCAGCTCACAGTTGTAATCTCACAGCTTTCTACAGACTCACTCTGACTGTTGTACCTCCACACACTGTGGATATTACACTTGTATTCCAGCTGGGTAGAGGAAAGGGGATGAAGCAAGGAGGCTGCTTCAGTACTTCTCAAACAGGCTTTCTGACTTGTCAGGCTGGGCAAGTGCATCAAAAGTAGACAAGTCTTGAATCTGCTTTGAAATGGAAACTTTAGACAAAAAGATACAGGCACAAGATGACACAGACTCAGTGTAACTCAGATGTGACTCCCACCTTAGCACACATTACATCTGAGTATCAACTTATTTGACCATCTCAATACATCCCAAGCTGATTTTTGCCTTGCTCTGATGCTGCAGAGTGGCAACACGGACATATTTTAAAGACAGTCCTTGCTACTACAAAATGACCACTGCTGGCAGAAGAAAATATATCAAGTTACAGCAGCTGGAGACTAATTTGGCTGCAGGAGATTTCCTGCGAACAAGAGTGGTTCCCATAGCACATCCCTTGCAGCACTTCCAATAATTTCTCTTATGCAGGTTTTCATTTCCCAGTGGTGGCTCTTCACTCACAGCTGTCAATTCCACAGATGCCTTCCAGTGACCATGCCTTTCCTCAGCGAAACCTGAGGGACTTCTTTAGTCTCTTGTCACTCTTGCAGCTCCTGACATGGCAAGTGTGTGGAGGAGCTCTGTCATCTGCCATTCTGGTCACAGGTGTACACCATGGCAGCTGCTGCCAGTCACCCTTGGACCAGCTGATGTACCAGGATGGGGCACAAGAGTCACCTCTCCTGCTCACCTAGATCAAGCTGTATCCCAGCCAACTCCAGCGGCCCAACCTTCCCAAACAGCCATGGCTGTGAGACAGGGGATCAAGAGCAGGATGGGCCCTCATGCTCCAACAGCCTCCCCAGACTGTCAGAAGGAATCTGAAAGGAGGACAGGACCTTGTTGCCAGCTCCAAAGAGCTTTCAGCAGCTGGTATCCACCCCATAATAATAAGCAAAATAAATGAATTTGTATTTACACCAAGCAGCCAAACACGAGAAGGTTTTCCACAGCTTTAATAAATTCTCTACACATCAAATAGGCCCAGGTTGCCAGACATTTCCCTGCAGAAGGGCAGCAGAGCTACTGTCCATCTGTCCATCTGCCCAAGCCTCACTCAGTCCTCTGCAGCTGTGGTTTGATGCTGATAAAGCTGGGCCAAAGGAGGCCTGGAGCAGCAATGCAGATTATTTCCTGATTATTTCCGGTCTGGAAATGGGAACATTTCTTTGCCTGGGATATTTGGGACAGAGATATATGCACAAGTTCATGGCACATGAACTGAACACTCCCACAAAGTGTAAGGCTTTATCAACACACTGCTAAAACTGTCCATGTATCCCACTAACAGATGTGGAGCCATGTGGATGGGCACAATTCGTCTCAGACACCTGGAAAAACAGTGCTCCCACAGTTCAGAAATCCCAAAAAAACACACAGAATTCTCACACTCCATCAAAATATATTTTTCCCAAGATATGAGGATAATAAGCTGCATTGTAAGCTTTCTCTCAGCCCCATGTCCTTGAAACCATCCTCAATCATCCTGCTTCTTCCTTTCCACAGCATCTCTCAGCCTCCTCCTAAGTGTCTCTTCTCTTGCCTGTATGGGCCTATATGCCTCCATCAGTCACTGCTTCACAGCTTTCCTTAAAAAAACCCTTTTCCTTGAAAAAACATCACATAATTATCTTCTAACTAATATGGTGTGAGTATTTTCCAGCCCTGCCTAGCACTCAATTCTTAGAGGCACGTGGCCTGGCTTTGTCGATCATAATTGCAAAGAATAAGATTTTTTTGTCACCTGTAGTCTCCATCTCAGAGCACATGACTGCTCTGCACTGTTGCACTGCTAATGGAAAGCTCTGTGAGGAACTGAGAAATGATCCTTGAACATCCTTCCTTGCCAGATTTCTTTTTCTGGGAGTCTTTCTCAATACTGGAGTTTTACCATAAAAAAAATGCTATGCAGTATTACCAGCCTCAATAATCTTATCTTTCTTCAGCTCGTCACCAGAGTGACTTAAAAATGACAACTTTTAGGAAACTGTGGATGTTGGAGCCTTCCTATATAACTTGGGTCATGTTTCTCATCTGTCTTCCATAAACATAGGGACTAGAAATCTGCTTTTGCTTTCCTAATGAAAATTTAGATTTGCATTTACTAACCTGCATTTACTTAATAACCTGCCACTCTTCGGAATAAAACCAAAACATCACCTTCACAACAAACCTTCTTCTCTTCTTCTAAAATGACAATTTCAATCTCAGTGTATTTAAAGCAGCTAAAACTCAGTTTCCTTCTTCTCAGTTTTTTGCCTGTGCATCCTATTGAAAGACATGAGGAAGATAAAAACTGTGCTTGCAAAAACCCCCAGGTCAGCAATCAGGTGCAGCTGAACGCCAGCCACAGTCTGCCCCAGTGGAAGACTCAGACACACATGAACATCAGGGTATAAATGCAGTCAGCAAAAGAGGATTTCCAAGCAGAACCTTTTATGGACTCTGAGAGGGGTGTTTGTTAGGCAGACACCCTGACATCGAGGTCAGCACTGTGCATGTCCCAGCAGCCCAAAGAACATGACTGAAGAGGACCTGCTTTACATGTGCCCATTTTTCTATTCTTGGAAGCACTCTGCATTGCTTTAGTAACATTTAGCTCGCTGGCCTAGCCAGGAGACACTCCAAGCATCCAGACCTTCTTATGTGACAGGATCCAAAAAGCTATATTTGTTTGTAAGCTGTGAATTGATGGCAGCAATATGCTGAGTGCACAGCACAAAGTTGCACTGCTAGATATTTACCAGCAGAAGCACAGAGCATGTTTATGTACTGGAAAAGAACTCAAACCGAGTCCATCCTGGGGATTTAACTCTTCCTTGTAGCTAACAGCATATGGCAACACTGCCAGGTTGTCTCTACATGAAGAGAGCAGATCCCGGTCTCCAATTTCTACTGAGCAGCTTATCCCATCTGAACTCCTCCCGAGGATGACAAGATTTATACAGCAATGCCATTTACTTAAGAGATCATCCCATTGCATTTGCAGCAGTATCTGCACACCTTTATGCCATTTGCTAATATGGCAAAGCTAATGTGTCATGGAAAAGATCCCTAGATTCTCTTCTGGTTTGTGCACGTGCACCAGCTCTGCTGGTGGGAGCCAGGAGAAGGCTCTCCAGCATTTGGAGCAGCTGCTGGACATTGCAGGGCTGGTGGTGAGACATGTTGAATAGTAATAAACTCTGCAATGGAGGTGGATGGTTCTCCACTGCAGTTGCAGCTCATCTTTCAAGGAAGCTCTCGATGCGATAAAACAGAAGGATGAGCTGTACATAGCAATGAGCTTCACTGGGATTTCAGCTCACAAGATACTGCACAGCTTCCAGGTGACTGAAGATGCTTAAGATACAAAAGAAGCCACACACTGCCACACAGCATCCCGCTGCTCAGGTTGGATAGTCACACACACATCAGTGCATGGCAAGGAAATCAGCAGCACTATGGCCAGTCATTATGGGAGACTGGGAACAGATGCTTCCATAGCAAGAGAAGCTCTTGCTTCTTTGTCACTTTGACAAATCTTTGTCACTTCAGTCCTTGGTAAAAAGCATGGCTGAGCTCTGCTCTTTCTGCTGTTAGTCAAACCATGGCACTGATAACTAGTCAGCAGAGCTCATTCTGAGCTTCTCCCAGCCAAGAGAAGAATCTGGCTTCTCTAAAAAGCATGCATCTTTAGAGATTATCTCTGCAAGCAACACTTCACAATTTCAGATAAATATTTATCAAAAATAAGCTAAGTTGTGTTACCATTAACTCCCACTGCTTGGTTCTGGTGCTCAGAGAGAAAAAACCCTACCCCAAACAATCCAGTCTGCAGCTTAAACAAGATTGCGTGATGAATTAGCTGAGTAAAACCAAGCCACGAGCAGAATAACAATTAATAGCAAAGTATTCACCTCCACTCCACTATGTATACATGTGTGCATGTATATATGCATATATATATATATCTGCATCTTCCAAACAGATCAGCACAGTACTCACTCTGAGTGGCATAAAGGCCCTCTGTTGCCTTATCCTCGTGCCCATCGAAGTCTCGGCTGGCCAGCTGCCTATTGGCTGTCTCCAGTCGTTCTGCGAAAAACAGGAAATACTTCAAGTATAAATATATGTATATAAAATTGTAGGCCAACCAAGAAAATAAGATGCATGCCAGCACTCTGCTGTCTAAGTATAAATAGACTCTCTGAAGGAGGATATTAAAATGGAGGCTGACACATACATAAAAGATGAGGCCTTTGACCTCTTCCATGAAGCTGTGTTATTCAGATTCACAGAAACTGGAAGAAAGTCTCTGCCATTCACAGCTGACATGCCCAGGCAATCATGTCTCACACTACTCAAAATGCACAAGGCATTTGCAATCTGAATTACCCAACTGTGTAAGGAGATGGCTGCTTTCCTCCAGTGAAGAGCTGCCCCTGGTGCAGCAAGACATCCTGGGGAACAGGAGCCCCCAGCCCAGTGACACCACTCCTTGAGGATGCCCTGGGAAAGAAGGCATTTTCTGCAGCCACGGATAGCTTTCCCTGGAAAAGTCCTGCCTTCAGAAACTTTCCCCCTTCAAAAAGACAATGTGTCCCACTTACATCATTGCAAAAAACATAAGTCAGCTTGAAAAAGGCACCTCACTGCAGGAGCAGTGAGTACCCAAGTAGTCCCCATAGGCAACCTGGATGGGCAATAGTTACCCAACATATCCTCCATTTGCTTTCTCAAAAGGATACACCCTCAAATTTAAGTTTTTTAAAAAAGAGATAACCTTTGATACTGGGCTACCGACCTGTGAAGGCATTGATCTTGGAGATTTATGGGTAACACAGCACTGTTCTACATTACAATTTGCTCTTTAGCTCTTTAGGAGTGGACAGGTGTCTCAGTTTGAGACAACAGGATACTGTGACTGGTTGCCTCGCTGTCAAATCCATGTTTTCAAGTGTTAAACACAAAGGCATCATCTGGAGTCAATTCTTACACTTTGCCAGAAGGTATTTTTGCCACCAGGAGGGTGACAGCAGTTTTGTCTAATGCCAATGAGGAAGGCCTTATTTCTCATGATGTGTATTGAAATATTGTGTGAAGCCACTCCTCTAAAGCCTGCTGCTCTGGAGCTTGTTAGTGAAACACCATGTCATCCAAAGGGGGAAAAAAACCACAAGCAACTGTAACGTACCACGGAGATCCCTGTTGAAGTCATGAAGTCTCCTAATTTCTCCTTCAAGTTTGTTTCTCATCGCTTTGTCCAGGGACTCCCTCTTAGTGGTGGTCTTCACCAAACCTTCATAAGCTTCTGAAATCCTCTGAATCTCAATCTCAAACTGAAAGGAGAGAGAGTTCCTGTTAAAGCCCTGCAGGAATGTGTCCCGTTCCAGTGTTTGCCCAGCACATTCCAATAACACAAGGGGTCGGGCAATGTTCATGTCCAGTGTCACGCCAGCCACCAACTCTGCAATGACCGATCTCCCTGGCAGACAACGGCACAAAGGCCCAGCAATGCTGGTGGCTCCTGCACTGGGGACCCCCATAAACACCCTGTGGGGCAGCTCATCATGTCACAACACCCCAGGACACCCCACTGGCAGCTCCCAAAAAAGCTTGAGGTGGGCTAGACTTGATGGAACTGCTTGGTTGCCTTTCGTCTATGACCGAGGTGACTGCTTTAATGCCACCCAAGACGAGAAAAAACAAGAAATGGTATACTTGTGTGGGCTGTATTCTCTCCTAGAAAGGGTGTAGGAGGCAACATTTATTGTTCAACAGGTCCCTGATCCAGATTTTATCTCTGAGTTCTGAATGTCACTAAAAGTATTTTAGACTCAGCTCTGGCCTCCGGTCACTTTTAAACTACTGTGATCCATTGCTTTCCATCCTTGACTGAAGACTGCTTTATACATGAGAAACTCTCTGTAACAAACAGAACCAATTGTTTTGGGTTTTTAATCTTCTTAACTTCACCTTCTTGAAATCTGGCAAACTGCAGGCAAGGTATGCAGAGGAATCCCTTAATGGCGAACTTGCATTTTAAGACCTGAGCCCAGAAGACTGACAGAAGAATAGTCCTGAGTAGAGTTTTGCTGTTCAGCTCAATCCATCCAACTCTTTTAATAACATAATATCATGTTAAGTGATGCAGCTTTGGTTGAATTATTGCTGCAGAGATGATCAATGCTGATGTGGGAATCTGTTCCTGCATGCCTGGCCCTTGTGTTTATGGAGAAAGGCTTGATAATGTGCACAGACTGGAAAACCAAAAGACACACATGGCCTCCCACGTACCTTTCTAAATCTGGTGCTTTTTTGGCCTCTTGAGTCATGGGTGGGACAGATTCATGATTTTTGAAGCCAGGGTGCAAGCTCACCTCCACTTGCTGAAGAGCTAGGTTCCTCTCAGTAAGCTTCAGGCATGATTTTCCAGCTGCAGCACTTGCAGAATGAGAGCTCCAGAGACACTGGAGCTGTCACCCCTCTCTGGGTGTGTAGGAACCCACAGTGAGGCTCCAGCAGCCTGGACCACTCTGTGGAGATACAGCCCGTGGGCAGGCAGCACCTCCAAACCATGCACCAAGGAAAGCCTGGCAGAGCCATGAAGGGGAAACCTGATTACCTTCCCCAATTTCTGCTTCCAGCTTGTTCACAAGCACAAAAGCTGAAACAAGTGGGGAGATTCAGACTAGTCACGAGAAAGACTTTCTTTACTGAGTGGGTGGTCAAACCCTGGAACAGGTTTCCCTAGAGAGATTGTCCATGCCTCCAGCCTTTCAGTGCTTTAGAGGCATATGAACAATGTCCTTAGCAAGATGCTTTAATTTGGTTCTCTCTGAATTGTTCAGGGAGTTGGTGAGCCACTATCTGCAGGAGAAGATGCTTTCTCCAGACAGTCCCTACCACAGTAGAGTAGATTTGCCAGCACAAAAGTGGCTTTCCACAGCCTAACAGCCTGGCCCAATGCAGCTGGTTACCACAAGGGCTCTGCTTGGCCCTCTACATGCTGGTATTTCCCAAAACACATCACCACACCGCCTGCAGCCCTGGAGGTAAAAACTTCCTGTAGCAAGTGCTCCATCAGCACAAAATTAAAGGAGAGCAGAAGAACAGCCATAAATTATGTTGGCGTCTCTCAACAGCTCTGGGATTTCCTTCTCCTTCTTCCATGGAGGAAAAAAAACCAATTTAGCCTTTTCTCTGCCTGGTAGCTCCTGGAGCCAACCCACTCAAACAACCCACACATGTGGCATGGGGAAGAGCCAGCCCAGCCTAGCAATTAAACTTCAGCAGGTAACACTACTCAGAAAAGAGAAAATAATCCAAAAAGCTCAAAATGAAATGCACACAATTCCTCTTCCAATTTTTTTTTAGGTAAGAAAAAAAGGCAACTCATCAAACAGCAGAGGGACTCATATCAGCACCTTGTACGTCTCTAGAAAAATGTCTGTTCACACACAACTGAGAATGTGACAACCCTCAGAAATGAGCTGTTTGTGCAAATGCCCAGGGAGTCCTACAAGTCAGGCTGACTTTCTCCAACTTCTTCCCCTATTCTGTAATGAATAAAAGTGGTGGGAAGGTCGTCCTACCTAGAATAAAATTGTTATCCACAAAGAAGAAGTACTCATTCCTGACCTTTCTACTTGCAACAAGAGGAAAGAGTTTTCACATCCAAAGTACATAATTTACCTCAATCACATTTTCAGAGGCAATGTTTGTGGGAACTGAGGAAGACCTGCCCTGACCTTGTGTTCAAACACGGCAAAAGCAGCATGGGAGGGATATCATGTGTTAGAGATTTGGTTTCCTGAAGAAAGAATGCACTTGAGTTTGTGTTTCACTTTAATACTCCGCTTATATTCCCCCAAAGTCAATGGGACTCAAGTTCACACTTTATTGACTGAAGTAAGACTTCAGCCCATGCTTGAATACCTTTCTGTTGGTGTCTGATGCAATAGACTTGCAGGGCATCCAAGATAAAGAGAGAACCATTTCTGAGGGTGAAAGAAACTAGAATATTTATAGGGCATTACACTTAAATACCTTTTACTGAACAATGCAGCTTTTGTAAAATTAATAGCTGGAATATTTCTTTTTGCCCACAAAGGCCACAGGAAGTCAGCAATAAAGTTTTTGCAGATTTCTTCATGAATACTTAATGTTGCTGCGAAATTTTTTAAACTAAGTTTAGGAAATTCTGGGAATAAACTGAACTCATCTTGTTGCAGAGGAGGCAGAAAGCACAGCAGCCACAAAACACTTGGCCTTTTTCCTAATCTGTTTGAACAGATTGTCACAAATTTCTCCCAAAGCTAAGGAGAAGCCTCTCCCTAAGATGGGACATGGTCTCTGAGAGCTGCTTCTTCTTCTCTGAAGGGCGTCTCCCTGATCCACACAGCATACAAAAAAAAAATGAGCTCCCATATAGACTCCTAAATTCAGAGAGAAAAGACTTGCAGTCTAAGCTCATTTGTGTATAAATGGTGGGAAGACATAAATGAAATAGTAGTACAGGGTCCTAAGTAAGTTATTTGGTCTGAGCTCTTAGGACCCAAAGCCAGCAGATCTGGGGAGCATCTCTGATTTGCTGTCAGTGAGCCTCAGTTTTAAGCAACTTCTACTTCATTAGATACAACTCTTCATCTTCTCACCCCAGGCAGTGTGCAAGACATCACCTTTCTCCACTGGAAAAACCTGCATTTTTACAGAAAAGAGCATGCAGGATCTCTTAGAAAAATGGGTTTCAAGCAAAATCTTTATTAAATGGTTCTTTCAGATAAGGGGACAGTGCTTTTAGAACCAACATGTTCAAATGGATGTCTAACATCAGTTCTTAGAAACTCAAGGAGTAACTGAAAGCCTCTAACGCAACCCAGTTCATCAATTTCATAACAATGGACAACCCCACTGGTGGCTGTTACACTTCCAAAGAGTGTGGAGCACCACACGAGCTTGTTGTGGTGGACGATACTGCCTGGGACAAATAAGAACATGCTCTTCACATGGTTCTCACCTGCATCTCTAACCCCTGTGCAGGTGGTGCAGGACCCTGCTGCACCAGGAACATACTGCCCATGGGAGACTTCCAGGGAAAGCTCCAGTGAGGCCAGCATGGAAGATGGAAGGGGAAAATACCCAGTTGAGAGATATCTGGTGGACTGCTCTGTTTCATCCTAAAGACAGTAGAGCCCACAAGGCTCTACTGTGAGACCACCACGGAGAGGCAGTACTTAGAAATGGCCAGTGGTGCATCCCCACTACAGTGATGCAACTATGAAGAACAGTGTCCAAAGGCAGAAGCACCAAGATGTTATCCTGGCCAGGGATAACCATCCCAATCTCTACACCTACCTTCTGCAGCTTGTCTGCCTTCTCGTAGTAGCCCTCCAGCTCCTGCCGCAGCACGTGGTTCTCCTCGGAGAGCATCTCCACCATCTGCTGCGCCCGCTCCACGATGGCAAAGGCGTCGGGTGTCAGCTGCTGGCCCGGCAGTGTCGGGGTCTGGGCAGCCACGGGGGCCGGCAGCGGGGGCAAGGAGCCTGGGAGCAGAGGGCCAGCGGTGGCCTGCGAGGACATGGGGCTGTGCTGCTGGGCCGGCGGCGGCGGGAAGGGTGGCGGGCATTGTCGGCTGTGGGAAAACACACATGGGGGAAGTGTCAGAGCCGCACGCCCTCGAAATGCTTATGGGAGCTTTCACCTAGTGACTGCATGGTTTATTAATAGTGTTCTAACTGGAAAGTCACGACTCCTAAATGCCAACAATAGCAGCAGAGACTGGGTAAATTGCCTTCTTGCCTGCTCTTGACAGTGACGTACACGTCTGGTATGAGCGCATAAAGGAAGCACCGACTCAAAACCAGCATTTTTGCCTAGGTGTGCAGCTAATACTTCAGCAGCCACCAGCCTCTTCCTGCCTCCCCTTCCCACCAACACCATGGCTGAGAAGCATAAGCTGGCAGGCTTGAAGAAAACACAAAGGATGCATTACTCACCCTTCGAACACCACTCCCTGCCCAGAGCAAGACCAGTAGATCAGCTGAGTTGGGAGGCAAGAGGAAGTGATGTGAGCAAAACAGCATCCCTGAGTGGCTATAGCAAGTAGAAGAGGAAGTGCTGCTGCAGAACTGCTGGAGGCAGCCCCATTCAATCACAGTGAGCCATGAAAGCTATCTTCCAGTGGGAGACCTCATTGTGTCACTCCCCCATTAAGGGCATCTATCACTCACCAGACTCATATCAGGGAAAAATAAGCAGTGAGCTGGTAGTGGATCTGCTCGTGAGCTAGGCTTGCTGTCAGCAGGCAGCTCTTTAATACACCCAAATCATAATTTGCAGTGGCTGGAAGATAATCCAGAAGGATGTCTCAGCAGTGAGGGTAAGGCTGGAGCTGACAGCCAGCTGGGATCAGAGTCCCTCACCCAACCCATCTCCATCCCTCCCTCCACTGCACAGGGAGCCCTCAAAGCCTCGGCCATGGGAAGCAGTCCCAGGCAAAATCGCACTGTGCACAGGCTGAGCCACTTCTCAGCCCTGGTGCCAAAGTTCTGAAATTTCTACACTGATCTTGTTAAAGAGACTCACCCTAGACCACGTGGTACCTCAGGCCCAGTTTGGCTGGAAAAAATGTTGGCTGCTGGACCCCACCTGCAGTCTGCAATCAAGCACCTTCTGGATTTGTATTTTAATGTAACCACAAGCTATTAGGCTTGCTGTGGATACCATTACCTTTATTTCTGTACTCTACACAAGCACAAAACATAATGAATGCACATATTTACCCCACTGGCCCTCAAAGAACCATGAATGCTTTTTCTTAGACAGTCAATTTTGTGCTATATAAGTACATAGTAATTATGGTTACTGTTGTCTTCAGCACCTACACAGCTTCTCAAAATAGGATTTTCAAAAGCCTTCAGTGTTGGCCTAATTCTACTGACAATAACCCACCACTTTGTTTGACTGCAGCAGAACAAAGCTGAAAAGTGAAGGCAATTTTAAAATCCTGCCCTAGAAAATGAACAGCACTGCTCTAACAAACTTGTCCCTGCCAAGCCACACGGCAGCAAAGAAAGCCAGCAATTCAGCCTTAATCTTCTGTCCAAACTAGTGAAAGCAAATCTGCAGGCCCTCAGACACAGCACACACACAGTCCCACACTCTCACCCCAGCTTTGTCCAATGCATCCACTCTGGCACAGAAAGGTACAGAAATGGAGGAAACACTGAACACAAGTACACTGCTAACAGAAGTACAGACCAGCATCCCTGGGAAGAAGATCCCAGCAGAGCTTCATGCAGCCAGCAGTGAGGAAAGCTGTGCTGAGCTCAGTCTGACATTGAGATGGCTTTGACCTGCCTAGCACAGACATGCTCTAAGGCTGTGTCTCTCCTGTAAATTAAACATCCACGGAGGTGGCTCATGAGCACAGGAAAGGGGCCATTTTCCCTGGCAGCTCCCAGGGCAGAAGGGTTTGCTCTCAGTCCCAGGCATATAAGTTCTCTGGCAGAGGTGCAGGCTAATAACTAAGAAGCTAGATGTCTACTGAAAGAGGATAAAAGACAGGAAGCCAGGGAGGTGCTGTATGGAGGTGCTGTATGACACTTCACAACAAAACACACAGGAATGAATAGAATCACAGTATGGCTTGGGTTGGAAATGATCTTTAAAAGCCATCTAGTCCAACCACCCTGCCACAGGCTCAGGCACCTTCCACTACATAAGGCTTCTCGGGGTTCCAACCAACCGGGCCTTGAACACTTCCCATGACAGAGCATCCAGAACTTCTCTGGGCAACCTCTTGCAGTGCCTCACCACCCTCAGCATAAAAACTTGCTTCCTTATGTCTAATCTAAATCTACCCTCTTCCAGTTCAAAGCTATCTCCTTTTATCCCATCTCTACAGGCCTTGGTAGAACTGTCCTGCTCCAGCTTTCTTATAAGTCCTCATTAGGTTTTAGAAGGCTGCAGTAAGATCTCTCTGGAGCCTTCTCTTCTCCAGGCTGAACAAATCCAACTCTCAGTCTGTCTTCACAGAAGAGGTGCTCCAGCCCTCTGATCATGGGCATAGTTCTCACACCATCCCCACAGTCCCCTTTTCCTTCTGGTGCTCCAGTGTGCAAACCTGGCAAGGGACCCGATGCCTATTGTGGGACTTGAATAATCTTTTGCTCAAAAATCTGAACAATAAATAACATCATGAGTGAGGGATGTCACTCCCAGTGCAAAAGATGCTCCACAAGTGAATGTGAACTCAGACAAGCATGCAACACCTCATCAGTGCTGCTGACAGCCAGTTTGTGCTCACATATTTTACCACAGCAATTAATTCAGTTAAATGTGAGCTTGTTTGTCTTTACCAAAAGAAAAGGCACCACTGGTTTTGTGAAAGTAAAAACCCAACTGTGTGGATACAGTTACACTCCTACAAAGACACTTAGCAGAAAATTTGGAAGATTTGCTGCAGATACAGATTTTCTCACTTCTTCATGGGAATAGCGTAGAGCAATAGAATTAAATTGATCTCTGAATCTAAACCAGTGGAGATACAGCAATCTTTCTTTTTCATTATGAAGCACAGCAATCTTTGTCCATAGATACACCCTTTAGACCCTTGCATGAACTTTTGACACTGTACTTTCGGGAAATCTTAGCCTTTCATCAATTTCATCTTTTCTTGTCACTTTAGTCTGTCTAGCTTTACACTACAGAGGAAGGAAAGACCACCGAGATCTCTATTTTCTTGAACTGCAAATGATTTTCTGAGCTACTAAAGATTTACACCCTGTAGCAGCTGCCAGCCACCAGAGTCTCAGCAGCCATGGTCACAGGAGAGATTCTCCAGTGTTTTCCAGCTCAGAAACTGAACAGGTACAACTGACTTTATATCTCTTGAAGCACAGCTATTCAATAAAATTAATGTTTCTAACTTTCTTTTTACTTGTTTAATCTGTCCTAATTTAGTTCTGACTTAGCCAACTGCAAAATCTCTGAGTACATACGTAATAAAATAAACACAGCAATTCACATTAACAAATCAGCATTTGCAAAAATAGGAATGTTATAAGAGCAGCTTAGCTCCTATCCAAATTCTCATGTAAAGCTCCAAAGAAACGCAGCAATCAGGATTATCCTGAGGTCCTTTGGGCTTAGTAAAGAATGACATTCTCACAATGCTTTTACTGTATTCTAAATGTTGCTCTTACTCTGCATTAGAGCAGGTTAAAATCTTTCAGCCAAATATTCTAGTTAACAGTCATCCTTCTTAAAAGCATGCAGCAGTGGAACATTATGAGTTTTAGCTATCTCTGCAATATTTCAGCTACATTTCTATTAAAAACATATTTTCTGTTGGCATTATTGTAGATGTAGGGCCCCCATAAGCTTCTGCAATGTATTGTAAAGAAGGGAAAAGAGAAAAAAATTAAGGAAAACAGCTTTTTCAATTAAGAGCACCAGCAGGGCATGAGGTTTTTTCAAGGGCTGCTGTGCAGGGGTCACCAAGCACTCTCTTTCTTTTCAGAGATACAGCATGCGTAATAGCTTACTATCTATAGCTTGCAATACAATGTCTTCAGCAAAATACTTGACAATGGACCTCACTTTCATAAGAAATTCCTCAAGATGTTGGGGCTGCCCAAGCCCCCAAATTTAGGCAACGTCTTAATAGTCCTCTTATACTGGACCACCTGGGAGTAAGAATTACCAAGACAGAGAAATTTGGGGAGAATTTGTAACTTTATGTAGAAATAAAAAACCTGGAAAGGAAAATTAATGATAAAGTCCACTTGCTGTTGATGACCAGGAAATCATAAATACAACAGAGTTGTTGTTGGATACAGCAGTGCAGTATTAGTAAATGAAAATGCCTGTAAATGTTCTGGAAAGGAAATTCCACCTCAGCTAGCTACAGGTACAGTGAAGCTCTCCTCTCTTCAGGGATGGAAAGGGGCCAGTAGAGGAAGGACTTTGTTTCCAACACACCGTGGCATTTACATTCATAATTAAAATGCCCTCCTCTAACCTATTTAGCTCATCTTTCTCTGAATGCTGTGCCTTCCTTTGCTTCTAGGGCAGACTGGCCTATTTCATCCTTCAAAGACTCTCCCAAGGAACTTCATCTCACAACTTCAGGCATCTTCTGTGGATGCTCTGGATGAGTCAGCGATGAGAATAAGGCGTTTCTAGGGTGCAGTTCTTTGAAGTTGCCTCAGGCTTTTACCTTACAATGAGAGTAAAAAAAGTGTGTGAAATGTGCTTATTCCTGCCCATTGACTGGGAGCCTTCAGCCAGGATACTAACCTCAGACCAGGTGTCTACCTGATTTCATTATGATTTCAGCAGTCACAAAGTAGACTTCAAACACTATTCTGTCTCACTGAGAATAACATGGAAGAAACAGTATTATGACCATGAAGGAAAAAAACAGGATCATGGCTGTCGGATTCTCGGCTGTTTAGATGGTCTGGAAAGGCCCGGGGTGGCCTTGGGCAGCCCGCGCTTCAAAGGACGAGAAGGGACTTCAGATCTTTTCTCGGTCTCGGTGTTTATTAATTGTTTATCTAAAAGATTTTCTCTTGGCCTGACAGAGTTCTGCTCAGCTGTCAGCCATGGGCACACTCTGAGCCCCTG